TAGAAAAAAATTAGAAGTTTCTTTTTGAATGTTTTGTAAAGACTCATTTGGAGACTTAAGCTTTCTTCTGGAATGTAATGTAGTGGAACCATCTTTTGAGTTATATACTGTGATTGTTATGTATTTATATTCTATGTGAGAATCTTATCGTTGCTTATGAGACCTTGTGTCAATACCTTTTAAGATCTGTCAAAAGAGCAGTGCGCTGTCTAAGAAAGCTGGACTTAGAAAGGAGGTTAATTTGACTCTTCCGGCGATCTGGGATCTTACTTGGTTATTGACCATAGGACTTATTAGTGACTCTCCCTTGACTGCAACCAATAGTGTAGAACCGGGGTGTCACAATTCTTTTGCTGACTTCAGAGGACTGTAAACATTATACAGCATGTTGTCAAGGCCATTGAGAATGTAGTTTCTGCATAGGAAATTTAAATGTTTCCAAGCATCTACAGCAGCAACAACTTGCTGACCACTTTCACCCTTTTTAAGTGCTGGAGCCTCTTCATGGAGAAACCGGGCCAAATTAAGAGTTATAAGATAGAACAACATCTTCTGCTGCCATCTCTTAAACTCAGTACCGTTAAATTTTTTCGATTTTTCTCCATGATTGATTGGTACTTGAACATGGTTCTGGATAGGGACCGGTGTTGGTGTAATAATTGGAGTACCACTACCAGTTGCAGTTTCAGTTGTAAAAGCCATAATTTCAAATTACAAAAATCACAAAAAATTAAAACAAAAATTAATTTTCTAGTTACTAAAATCAGAAAATAAATTATTACACAAAATAATTTTATTTTTCTTGTTACTAAAACTAGAAAAGTAAAATACCACAATAATTATCTGTAACACAAATTAATATTCTGCAATTGTTAATGACACCAGTATATTACTACTAGTTGTCAAAGAAAAGAGACAGTATATTACTATTATCCGTCAAATAGCATAAACCACTATTTGTTTTTCCAACCAGAATATGTCTTTATGAAATCACAGAAAATTAAAAACAATGAAGATATCAAAAATAGGTCTATCTTAAGATTGTTGGGCAATCTTCACTTTATTTAAATAGATTAAATTCTGTTGTGTACTTAACAACAACCAGAATATAAAAGAAATAAAAGAAAAAAGAGAATTTGTTTGATTACAAAAATCAAACCAGTAAAAATAAAATAAAAAAATAAAAACAGATTTTATTTTGTTACAAAAGTAAAATTAAAATCTGATTAACAAATAACACAGAAAAATAAATTGAACAACTTACTTGATTAATTTCTTCGAAAAATAATCTGACCAAGTCCAGTATTTGACACTATGTCCTTAAGACAGATATATAGACATCTATTTACTCGGTGCTTTCAGAATATGGACGTCTATCTTCCATGATGAAATGATCAACAACAAATATATGCAGCACTATAATATATTTGTACAACGAACACACTAAGTGTTTTATACTCTTTCTCACAAGAAAATAATGCAGCAAAATGAAGAGTATGAATGCATAATTTTATGGACGAAAATTTGTGTTTTGATAACAAATAAGGGCTAGCCTATTTATAGATGGATTGATGGCTTTCCATTTTGAATTAAACAGGTATAGTACCTGTTCAATTTGAATTAAACAGATACAAATCTGTTTAAGGCATTGTTTGGTTTGAAATTCAGGTGGATTTGAATTTGAACAAAACAGATTCGGTTTTGGGTTTGAATCTGGACAGATTTGGGTCTGTTTGTGAAGAGGTGCAACAATTTGAATTTAAAATTTAAATCTGGACAGAAATTCGGAATGAATTTTTGGACAAATTTTATTTCAAAAAATAAAATTTAAATTCAAATATTTTTGGCCTAAAAAGATTAGTATTGAGTCGGACAAGCCTAACGCAACCTCACACCACGCATCCACGCCCAGGCCAGCCCAGCTCGCCTAGACGGTGGTGAGCGTGCGCGTGTGTGGTGATTTTTGAGTCTAATGGGTCTAGCCCATTTTGTCCATAACCTCTTTCTCTACAAAACTTGGGTACCCCTTGGGGCACACCCCAAGTTCCAATGTCATGCCTTATAAACCAATTCAAACCTTCCCATCAAATCAATGTGGGACAAGCCATTTTCAAACCTTAAGGAATTGTGAAGAGGTGCAACAATTTGAATTTAAAATTTAAATCTGGACAGAAATTCGGAATGAATTTTTGGACAAATTTTATTTCAAAAAATAAAATTTAAATTCAAATATTTTTGGCCCAAAAAGATTAGTATTGAGTCGGACAAGCCTAACGCAACCTCACACCACGCACCTACGCCTAGGCCAGCCCAGCTCGCCTAGACGGTGGTGAGCGTGCGCGTGTGTGGTGATTTTTCAGTCTAATGGGTCTAGCCCATTTTGTCCATAACCTCTCTCTCTACAAAACTTGGGTACCCCTTGGGGCACACCCCAAGTTCCAATGTCATGCCTTATAAACCAATTCAAACATTCCCATCAAATCAATGTGGGACAAGCCATTTTCAAACCTTAAGGAATTTCCACCAAAACTCCATTTCCATGGAGCATACTTTGGCTTCAATTTCTTATTTACTCGATAATGGTTTTGAGTAACCAAATATACTACGTGAATCACAACACGGCATAAAACGTATTACCACTTAGACTTGCAAAAATTGATGCACAGATCCCACTTAAATATTAGACCAAAGTTAAAAAAAAATTTATTTTTAACCTAGATTTTCCAAACCATTTCCAACAATGAGAAGAGTAAGAGGGGAGAGAGGCCAATTGATCTGGCACATGTTATTTTCTTTTGTTTTGCTCTGGTTTCTCTTCTTTTATTTTGGTAACCGGCTATATCAGCTGTCAATTAAAAATTAAACTATTTAAATAATTTAGTTATAATATGATTATGAGGTGATATGATACATCTGAATAACTAAATATAATTAAGTTATAATCTAACATGATAATAGTTATGATTTATATGATATTAATTATGATATAAAATTATATAACATCATAACTAGGGATTTGTTTGGAAATATGTTTTTTTGGTAATTTTTTGACTAAAATATGATGTAAAAAAATTAATATGTTTGAAATAATTTTTTGATTTTTTACAAAAAAAAATATATAAAAAATAGAGATAAAATGAAAATTTTAGACTATGTTTGATTGTGTTCTCAAATCATGATTCTGCACCTTGATTCAAATATGGTGTTTGGTAGGAGTTTTGGAATCACGTTTCCAAAACTATGCAGAGAGTTCTGTCTCAACTGCGCTTTTAAAAAAAAAAATTTTTGAAAATTTTGCCTAACCAGTCGTCCGACCGGTTGACTGAAATAGTAATTTTTTTTTTTTTACAATTTATATGTTAATTTTTATATAATCGAAAAAAACATTTTCTGAAATTTTTAAAATTTTTTATGTGCTTTAAAATAATTTTGAGTTGTATGTTTAGTTATGAGTTGTAAATTTTTGTATCAAATATCAAATGTCACATCAATAATTCCCCACTCAAATCAAAACTCTTTTAAAAACTATTTTCAAAACTCTTTATCAAACAAATTTTCTATACTCAAATCATAATTCCAAACCCCACAAACTCAAAATACAACTCATACTCTCAAATCATAATTACAAAACTCTACTAAACGCAAACTTTTTTTATATAAATTATTAACTTTTTTTATTTTTTAATAATTTTTTAACTTTTTAAACTAAAAACTAATCACTATGCTTGGTATCACTTTTCAAAAAATTTTACTTTCTTATTTTTCGTATTTTTTTGTTTTTATTGATTTTTAAAAATATTTTAAGCAATTTTTTAAATTTTTAAACATATCTAACTTAGATGTATCTAAAAAGTAAAAAATTTGTGAAGAAAACCTTTTAAAATTCACTAAATACCCAAAATACAAAAAAAATACGAAAATTCAGTACATTTTTTATATTTTTATATATTTATTAATTTTTTAAAATATTTTTTAAAATATTTTTACTTTTTAGATACATCTTTTTACTTTTTAAATACATCTAAGTAAGGTACATCTAAAAAGTAAAAAAAATATTTAAAATTTTAAAAATATTCATTAAAAATAAAAAACATAAAAATCAAAAAATTTAATTATTAGAAAACTTAATTAAAAAAACTCAAATTAAACCAACTAAACCAACTGAGGCACCGTTTGGGAAGTGAGTTTATGGGCTTTTTTTGGCTATTTTAGCCACAAAAGATAAAATAGGCTATTTTAGCCACAACAAATAAAATATCACATCCAACCCATAATCATTAAGGCTAAAATAACCAAAAAAGTCAAAAAACTAAAAAGCCAACCCACTTCCCAAACGGAGGCGGAATAATATTATCAACGGACACCTAAGAGCATCTCCAACGGTGACTCAAATTTTTCACCAAATCTGAGTCAAAAATGACCCATTTCACCAAATTTGATACCACTCACTTCAACGGTTCACCTTTCACCAAATCTATCCCGGGACAACCGGGTGGTCGACCGGCCGGTTGACCGGTTAGGCAAAAAAATTTTTTTTTTTTTTTCGCGAATTGTCTGAACTTTTTTTTGAACTTTCTGAACTTTTTTCGAGACGACTGGGTGGTCGACCGGCCGGTTGACCGGTTAGGCAAATTTTATTTTTTTTTTTTTTTTTACGGTTTGAACTTTTTTCCTGAACTGTTTGAATCTTTTACTGGTCGACCGGTTAGTCAACCGGCTGGTTGACCGATTGGTCTCCCTCCAACGGTCACCAACAGTGTTTTGGTGAAATCAGTATTTCGTCGTCAGTTTGATAAATTTTTTGATGAAATCTCAATCTGATATTCATTTGGTGCAACCGTCGAAACAGTGAACAGTAACTTTTTTATCAAAATTTGAATTTAATATCAGTTTTAGTGAACCGGTAGGGATGGTCTAAATGTATAGTACACTTAAGTATACCATAACATCACCCCAAAATGGTATTTTTTTTAAATAAAAATAATTGGTTCAAATTGTGATGCAACAGATTCCCTAAATATTGAACAGAGAGGGCTAGGGTTTACATTTTCAGCTTTCCACTCTCTCTTTCTCTCTATCTACAATGGCGAAGAAGGACAAGGTGAAGAAGCGAAAGCTCATAAAGAAACAACAACCAGAGACCAACAACAAGATCGAGAAGAAGAAACTGAAGAAAAAGATCGAAAAAACCAACAAAACCCTAGCAGCTGTCTCAAAGAAGGAGAAAGACAAGACTCCACAACAACAGACTCATCCGCAGATTCACTCCGACTCCGACTCCGACTCCGACTCCGACTCCGAAATCGAGTCCGAATCCGACAAAATTCACAACCTCCTCGCTCCGTACTCCAAGGACCAACTCATCGACTTCGTCGTCGACGCCGCCGTCAACGACGCCGCCCTATCCTCCCGCATCCGTGACGCCGCCGACCGCGACGTCTCTCACCGCAAAATCTTCGTCTCCGGCCTCGGCTGGGACTCCACTCGCGAAACCCTAACCTCCGCCTTCGATTCCTACGGCGAGATCGAGGATTGCAGTGTCATCACCGATCGAGTCACCGGAAAAGCCAAGGGCTATGGCTTTGTTCTGTTCAAAACGAGACAAGGAGCAACCAAAGCCTTGAAGCAGCCGAGGAAGAAGATCAATAATCGGATGACTTCCAGCCAGTTGGCTTCGGTAGGGCCCAATTCGTCTTCGGCCTCGGCCGCGTCGCAGAGCCACGACACGGCGGGCCGGAAGATTTACGTGAGTAACGTTCAGCCTGACGCCGATCCGGAGAAATTGAGAGTGCTTTTCGCGAAATTTGGGGAAATTGAGACCGGTCCGGTAGGGTTTGATAGGCATACTGGTAAGTCTCGTGGATTTGCTTTGTTTGTGTATAAGACAATTGAAGGGGCTAGAAAGGCTCTTCAAGAGCCTTACAAGATGTTTGAGGGTCGCCAATTGCATTGCCAGAAGGCGGCTGATGGGAAGAATAAGGTGGTTGGGTCGCAGCCCGTGATGACGGCAATGCAGCCGGTGCAGTCGCCGGTTTTGGCGGCCGTGGCGCAGAATTTGGCTTTGTTTAATCAGCACCGGAGTTTGAATCCAATGTACGGTGGATTGCTTGTGAATCCCAATGCTGGGATGCTCATGGCTGGGTCTGTGAATCCAATGGTGGGTTTGGGACAAGGGCTGCTTGGTTCGAGTCAGGTGAGTGGTGCTGGTGGGTTTGGTGCGAGTGCATATGGAACGAGTGCGCCGGTGATGCAGGGTCTGCAGCAAGCGTACACAAGTTCACATATTGGACAGACGGCGCCGGCTAGGGCTCCTGGAACTAGTAGTGGGTCTTTCAGTGGGTACCCATCATATATTTGGTATGATCTATTTCACTCCTCCACTTCACCTTTAATTGGTTTGTTTGTTTTTCAAAATTCATGTTTTTGTGATTGTTTTCTATTGATTTTTGATAATAATTTTGATGCTATTGATTTTCTGTCTTCTACTCTATTTGCAATATTGGTTTTGTTCATTTAACCTTTTAATATTTTTGATATATATTTTAAAAATATTAGACTTTTTTGCCAGCTTTGGTTCTTTTAACATATATATAATATATACAAGCAGATTCTTACTACAATGCATATTTTGTGTTTTTCCTGTTATTTTTATTTCCATTCAATATTATTATTTGGATAAAGAGTTTCTGTCATCCTAGATTTATATTAATGAATCGCCAGAGTACTTTGCTGAAATAAGATTATTTTACTGATATTTATGAGAATCAGCATGAATGAAGTGTACAACACAGAGGATACTAATGCTTTGTTTGACGATCTAAGCATGTTTCCTGTTATAAAGGAGATATCCTTGTGTTGTGAACCGTAGATCACACACTCAGGGGCCTATTAGGGTATTTTCAATTTGTTTACGCATATTTAGCATCTGCTATGTAGAGTGATGTTTGGTAATCATTTGTTGGATACTTGTTAATTGATCGTGTTATTTACTCTTTCCATAAGAGTATTACCCTCCTTGGGAAAGTTGGCCTTTTGATTTGTGAGCTCGAACTACAAGAACAAATAGTTTTTACTGTTAATCAATATTTTTATCTTATTCCTTGCTTTCTTCTTCTTTATTTTTTTAAACTAATTTTTGAAGAGTTTTTCAACCACCAAAACCCACTGAGCGTGTTTTGTTTCTGCTGTATTTTGTTTTCCTTTGGCCATTGTTAATATTACATTGTTCTTGTGAAAAACAATTGATAATATTACATTGTGGGGCTTCTTTTATTGTTGCCGTTTTTTTAATTATTGAATCTTATATATTTTGGTTCTCAAAAAAATTTCAGAAAACATTTATGTTGACTATCATTATGTGATTCTTAACTTTTGGTTACTAAAATGGCTAAAGTTTTCATAATTTTAGAAAGAAATTCATGCATGGCTAACTTTAAAATTGTGGTTTTTGTATATGGATATTTTTAGACCTATTGTTTTTAATGTTTCAATGTAAGTGATTTTTTTTTTTGCTCGCTCTGCAAAGGCATAAAAGATGACTTTGTCATTGGAATGCCAAAAGTTGATGTTGTCATAGTGCTTACATTCCCTTAAATGTATTTTTGCATGCGATTGACGCAATTTTTTTTTATTTGTCGGTAGTTAATGGCCAAATTCTTTTGCACAAATAATTATTTCTAGGAAAGTCTTTGGCATTATTCCTTTTGTCTTGAGAAGTTTGTAAGTAAGTTTGCATTTTTTGGTTTTATCTAGGCTTACTTTTGCTGATGCTCCTTGCATCCATGTAAGGGTGGTTTATCTTTTACTAATGGTTTTTTTGTTTGAAGTTATTAACTATGTATAAGACATCTGCTTCCAAGTACTGTACAGTTGTCTGTTGGGTACTGCCCAACCAACTTCACTGAATTTGGTGGTTGGTTAATTCTGTTTATTTGATGGTGGTTATGCTGTCAAAACCAAAATGTTGTCTGTAGTTGTAAAAGCTTTTTCTATGAGTCATGGGATGCTATATTTCTAAGATTGAATTTCTTATTTGAATGTCACAGTTTGTCTTAGAATCATGTGGATTTCAAAATTCTGGCATATTAGCATGATCCACACCACTTGTACTAGTTCACATGTATAAATGAAATAAATACTGAAACAAGGAAATTTTTAGACACAAATTTTGTATGTAACCATCCAATAAGGAATTAACCCAAAAAAATGCAAATTCTTAATACATATACGCAACCAGCCTATAGGGAATTAAACAAAAAATGCAATTCTTAATACATATGCTTGTAAAGTTTGACATCCAAATACGCCTCGAACGTGTCCTTGCAAAAAAAAAAAAAAAAAAGGGTAATTCAATAGAATAATCAATAAATGGAAAATTTGGATAGAGTGTTAAATTGAAAAAGGGTTGTCCAATGTTTTTGTTTATTGTGGGTGTTTGGGAAATTGCTATTTTAGTAGGTTATTTTAATTTTTGGTTATTTTAGTAGGCTAAAATTTTGTGTTTGGGAAGATAATTGGATTTTTTGTAATTGGATGTGATGTTTGTAAGAGAAAAAGTAAAATAATTATGGGTTTGATGTGACATTTTGTCTTATTAGCTATTTTAGTTTATTTTGTCTTTTTGTGAATTTTAACCTAAATTGGGCTAAAATCCCACTTCCCAAACAGCCCCATTATTTATTTCCTCACATTTCTTGGTTTTTGGTGACTTTCACCCCTGTTTTCCCAGCACGCTTTATATTTGTTTTCATAGTTCAAAGCTCTGCTTTATGGCAATAATCTTTATTGACACTTCCTATTCCATTGGGACCGATTTTTGATTTGTTTTTTTGTTGACTTTTACATACATGGGCTCCGTATTTGCAGATGAAGTGCAGCTGAGATTGAGGACCTATGTTCATGCAGTTTTGGGAACATTTATCTAGGGACGTATTCTGGGTCAACTGTATGGTTGTGAAGTTTGACTCATAAGCAGAACTTTTAAGTTTGTTTACTTTTCTTGTAGTTCTCAATTTTATGATTTGGCCAAGCTTAACAAGAACTTTGTAGACAGATTTCTATCTTACAGTATTACTTTCTGTACCCTTAATGTATTCAGTTTTCTATCTTACAGTATTACTTTCTGTACCCTTAAAGTATTTGCTTTAAGATGTTTTGATATATACTTAATTTTAGCCACATGTTTTTTATTTTCATTTATTTGTTTTTTCCCCTTCTAGGATGTGCTCTAGTATGATATGGCTTTCCATTTTTTATTTTGTTTTTTTTGTTCTCTTATTAATTTGTGTATATGTGACTTGATTTTAATGGTTCATCGACGAGGAAATTGATTTGCTATGTGATATTTGATGTTTTTCTTGATTTCATGTTTTCAGTGCATGAGACACCTTTTTAATCTTTTTGTACTTTTCATGAAAACTACTTATTTTTATGGTTCTTAGTAGATATTCTATAGGAACTGTGCACTAATGTTTTTGTTATAATTAGATTAGAGTGACTCCAGTAGTGTTTCATCGGTCGTATTATCACACTATTATAGTTGTTCTTTTTCTTTCTTTCTTTCTTTCTTTTCTTTTTTTTCTTTCGTTTTTTTCTTCTGATTGAAACATATGATTATGAGCAATGACGTTAGCCAATTGGGGTGTTGCCTATCGGGACACTTGAATTGGATTCGTTGGTTTCGGTGCCACACAATACATGATCGGACGGAATCATTGGATGATAGGTTATTACGAATTGAGGAAGAATGGGTTTTACTCCTAGCGATTGGTATGTTCACCAAACTCTTATTATTATGTTCTTTGTTCTCCTTCTCCGTACCTTATTTAATATAACTTTGAATTAAATCAATGAATTGAAGTTTTTAAAAATATTAATTATGCATTATAAAATTAAAATTAAAATTAAAAGTTTAATGTATAGATAATACAAATAAATATAATTAGGTATACATGATCGCATGTGAAATCCGAATCATATGGTGATTGTGGTGAAAAATAACATTTGCACTATTGGAGTTGGTCTATCAAGATATAGCATTTTGGCACTGCAGCCCATTATCCTAAATTGTGGTATTGGGACATGTAGTGGTAACAGTAATGGCTGCGGTCTAATGGAATCAGAAGTATCGAGTGATACGTATGGGTAATTGGATGACATGGTTGTGGTTTATTTTAAAATCACCAACAATCCTGATAAAACTCAATGACACGCTTCTTTTGGACTATTGTAATCTTAACTTGTCATATTTTTCTAACATATGAAACCTGTTTGCACTGCCTGCTGCTCTGGTTATGTACAGCAGCGAACTGGTCTGAACTGGATGAGTATGAGAGAAATAACTATAGTGTTATCGGTTTGGACCAGTGTGTAGTGTCTTGGCCAGTTCGGTGGGGGATTTCAGTCTTGGTAAATTGGCCTGTAACCGAACTGGTTTTTTGTTCCTTGCTGTAGTGTGCTAAAATATAGGATTGACACGATTGAAATAGAATTATTTTTTTGGAGATGATCTGTGGTTGGCAATTTTTGTAGTACATAATTCGCCATATCTTGTATTTGATTTTGGAAGTGTTTGTGAGGAGGAGAGTTGAGTGATGAGTGTTGGTACTGATTTTCTCATTTTTAATAACTGGTTCGTGATTGATGTGAGGTCATTGCTTTGTTGCACTTGAATTATAACCCTGCATGAGCACTTGCCTTAGTTTTAGGACAGTTTTTACACTCAGGCACCATAACTGATCATGTCTTTATGTCCTAATAATTTGATGGTTTTTAAATGCAAAATGTTTTAGGAAAACCACAGTTTTAGTGGTTTGCTCGACACCTCTTCTACTAGGGTGCTTGAGCGGGTGTGGGCCTTGGACTTGTAAAGGTACTGCAAGGTCTATTCACTTTGTGCTCCTTGGACTCGTAAAGGTACTGCGAGGCCTATTCCCTTTGTGCTTGACACAGTGCTCGAGCGGTCTCTTTGCAGAGATACTGTGAGCTTCACTCGCTATCCCTTTGATGACGTACTCACATAGGCATGCAGGATTTTGCTGCATTCGTCTCGTTGCAGAGATACTGTGAACTTCACTCACTATCCCTTCAACGACCTAATCACGTGGACATGCAGGATTTTTTTAAAACTCTTTTCTGGTCCAAATTTGATCTCCCATAGCTACATGAACACTCCTTTATGTGATTGGGAATGTCCGTTTGTCGACACTTGCAAAAAAGCATCTAAAGCCCAACTTTTAAAAAGTTAGCCTTTTGACCTTATATGTGTTTTTTAAGATGAAAAAGTAAGCAAGCTAAAAACTTGATTTGCCTAATCTAGGTTCATATTAGGCCGTGTGTTTTTCACAAAAAACCGTCAACCCTTTGGTGTTGATAACAGAGCCATCGGAGTACAAAGATCTAAGTGAGGAGCTTCATGGTGTACTGTTGGATTAGTGGAGGTTAACTAAGTCAGAGCTACATGGAGAGGAGATCTAGCCGGAGTGTTTGTTGAGGATTTTTGAGTTAAATGAACTAGGTAAGGGTTCGTAATTCCTAACATCATAATTCTTATACGCTTTGATTCAATAGTGAAATTTTGTGTGTTGGTTAGGATCATGGTTTTTATCCTTGGGGAGTTTTCTTAATGAGGTTTTCAAGCTAAATCTTGTGGCTACTTCTTTTGAGTACTGCTGTGGATTACATGCTTCAAATCATTTGATTACTAAACTTGTATTATAATAAGTGGTAATTTAAATTTTGAAATTTGAAATTTTAAGTTTGGCCTATTCACCCCTCCTTTGGGAAAAAGTAAACACCAACCCTATAATTTCAGTTTCATTTGTATACTTGTTTATTACTATTATTTTTATAAAAAAGAAAAAAGAAAAAGAATCTTCACATGCTTGCAAGAAGACTGACTTCTTCTGGCATTTTTCATTGCTTCAGAAAGTAAACTATTAGACTATTTTAAATTCCTTCTTAATTTGAGGAGTTTTTGCTCATGGAAAATACCAAGGGTCCACTTTTCTAAATTCCTATTATAGGAATCTCTTTTCTCTACAATTATAAGCATTTCCTTAGGTGCCGTTTGGTAATACTTACGTTTTCAATTTTCTGTTTATATTTTTAAAAATTTTAAAAACTCAAATAAAAACTTGGTTGGTAAATTTTTGATTTATAAATCAGTGGTCTCAGTTTATAAATTTGGATAAAAAATATAAACTCAAAAAATGTGTTTCCATTTTGAATTTTTAGGTTTTTTTTTTTTACCACCTAACACTAGTCACCACCCGCCACCATTTTTCACCACCGTCTTCCGCCACCACCACCTGCCACCCACTCGCCACCACCACCATCACCACCCACCTGTCATCCACCCGCCACCACCCACCACCTGTCACTACCATTCACCGCCCGCCACCACCACCCGCCACTTACTTGCCACCACCACTCACCACCCACCTGCCACCACCATTCACCACCTGCCACCACAAGCCACCCACTACCACCACCAGCCACCTGCCACCCATCCGCCACCACCACGACCATCACCCACCACCCACCTGCTACCACCACCCACCACCACCCATTTGCCACTACCATCCACCCACCCACCCGTCACCGCTTTTCAGCACCGTCTTCCGCCACCACCACTCGTCACCACCCGCCACCACTTGCCATTTCTCACTCTTTTTTATATTTAAAATTTTTTTTAAACATTTTGTCTAAACCAAACGCATTTGATATTTATGTTTTATTAAAAATTTAAACAAAAATCAGTTTATAAAATTTTTGTAAATATAAACTGAAAACGTAAACGTTACCAAACAGACCCTTAGCTTTTGAAGCGTGCTTAAGTGCACATGCATATTTACATTTATATTTTTGTGGGGTAACAGATTTAAATTTTATTGATGCTTTGTAAGAAATATTTGGAGCTGGTTTGGCAACCCTTGAAAAAGTCAAAAAGTTAAAAAGTTACTTAAAAAATTAAAAAGCTATCACTATTCATCAAAAAAAAAAAAATTAAAATAATGATATACAAATATTAATACAAATAAAAAAAAAGCCCCAAGATTGGTACTGACGTGATGGTGGAGTCAGTGATCGAGGAAGCAAAAAAAAATTATAGTAAAATATGCATTAAATTGGATGGTAAAGTTGGGCCCGTGGGGGCTCATCATGGGTCTCGTTTTGATAATCTGAACCGTTTAATATGTAGAACTCGTCTAATATTATATATCTGTAAAAAATTACGTCTATCGGATATCATTAATTACATGATCAAATTAGTTTTGTATAAAAATGAATGGTGTTATAGTTAACAGTTAACAAAAAAAACTAACACGATCATATAGGTATTGATATCTAATCAACGTGATTTATTACTAGCATATAGTACCTGATGAGTTCTACACATTGAACGGTTCCGATTAGAAAAACAGGACCTGTGGTGGGCCCCCACGAGCCAAACAACACCATCCAATTAAAGCCTGAGAATGAGACAATATTTTCTCATCTACTCATCCAGCCAGCCACCACTGTCATTTCGTACGGTCTCCTAACCTATCTTCCCCTACACACTTATTTATATAATTTTTTAATACACATTTTTTCATAAAAAGTCAACAAATTAACCCAAAAATTCATATTTTTTTCCTCAACTTTTTAGTCCAAAAAGACAAAAAGTGCACTTATTTAGGGCATTCTAAACAACCCCTAATTTATTTATGATCAAAAAAAGATAATTGGTCTACGTTCTTTTGATGAACAATCTTAATGTCCGTGTTGGGTGTTAATTATCTTCTCTACATCTATGGTGGGTACATTGTGCTCGTTTTCAACTGATATATTAATCAGCCTTGCATTTTTTCTAGTTTTCTTCGTATGTGTTTGTGTCTGTGTATTCTGAAGGTTCATGGGTTAATTATTTGAAGTTCTTTTCTTTGTCAGAAGGACTTTTTTCTTTTTGTCATTTTATTTTCGCTTCCTTCGTAACTTTGTCTTTTTACCCCCCATATGTGAATAAAATGGAGGATGGTGTTTTTGTTGAGCTCGACCCATTTTTAGGGGCATATGGAAATCAAATGGTTGAAAAATGAATTTTCAAGATAAAATATAGCTTAGAGATTTGAGAGGGGCTTTTGTGGCGTTTCTCAAGTGCTTAAAACATTTAGGTCCTATGTAACCTTCTTTAG